GCTATTGCGGGTGGTTCTACCTCACCGGTAGCGGAAGGAGGAGGGGATGCTGTAGGAGATGAGTACGAGTCCGAATCCGACTTGGACCCCGACGACGTCCGTATGTTCCGGGAAGGCTTCACCAATTCAGTGGTGCGCGCAGAGGGGCGATCTCGCTTCATCGAGGTTCCCACAGAGTTGAACTTATTGCTCCAAGGGGAAAGCTTGGTGCCGCAGTTCGAGCTGCTATGCTCGGAGGCCGAGAATGCGTCGTTGAGGGGTGTTACGGATATCAGACTGATGAATGAAGTGGCCGTGATAGGCTTGAGGGTATGTACTATTACGTCGGTTCGCTTCTTCTTTGCCTTAGTTTGTTCTTTATCTTAATCGTTGTCTTTGCTTTGCAGTCTTATCTGTTGGAGGTGGAGAGCATCCGTCGAGCCAAGGTCCGCTCGGGGATATTTTTGCGGGCGCTGGAGAAGTATCGCCGCTATCGAGATCAGTGCCGAGAGTTGCGCGTGCGCTTGAGGAATGATCCTCGTAGCCGGGCCTTGGTCGAAGAGCTGGCGAGGCGGGAGCTTCAGATGCAGCAAACACTTGGCAGGACGAGTGCTCTCGAGGGGCAGCTTCGCCGAAAGGATGAGGAGCTCGAGGCGGTAAAGAGGGCCGCAGCCGAGTGCGAGCGCCGGGGCCAGGCCAAGGCGGCGGAGGCCGCTGCAGCATGGAGCGGGAAAGTGACCGCGTTGGAGGGTGAAGTCGCGGCATTGAAGCTTCAAGTGAGGGATACCTCGTCGAGGGCCGGGGCGTTGAAGGAAGCTATCCGCGTGCACGAATCCCAACGGGCATTGGAAAGGGATGCTGCGGCCTTTAGAGAAGCGATTCTCGAGCAGCGGATTGGTGTCTTTGAGCAGGACGCCCAGGTCATGGCGGACAGGATTACAGCCTTAGAAGAAGAGAATCAGCGGCTACGGGATCAAGCCGCTTCTTCCAGCCAGGCTCGAGAACTTTGGGTCTTTGCCGAGGCCCAACGTGATGTATATAAGAGTTTGTGGGAGGCTGGCGTCGTGACCGAAGCTGCTTTCGAGGGGGCGCGTCAGAAGGCTCGTGAGGCACGTGCCGACTGTGGTTTTGACGCGGCGACGCCAGAGGCTGACGCTGGTGCAGACGGCGGCGCAGACGGCGCCGAGTAAAAAGATGTTTATGCATTTTTTCTTATTTTTTATTTTCTCTTTCCTTGTATTGATCGGCCTTGGCCGGGTGTAAGCGGGGAAGACCCGCAATTAACTTTGTAGATAAATGAGATCTCCTTTCCGTTATTTGCCTTGTGTCTGTTTTGTATTCTCCTCTTTTTTCCCCTTAGATTTTTCTTTGCATGCGCTCGAAGGGGTGATTTGCCTTCGAGTTCGACTCTGGTAGGCATGTTAGTTTTTCATTGTTGATGACTCTTCTTCTTCGACTCGGGGTGAGCGAGTCGGAGCCGTTGCTTGGCGATAGCAGCACTTAGCCTTAGTCCCAGTTCGGACGCGGTCGAACTACCGGTCGTGATGGTAAAAAATGCGGCCTCGTAGTTTGACCGGGGCCGAACTTTACGTGGCCCGACTCTTAATTCGAGTTGGGAGAACTTACTTGAATGGCGAGGGTGCCTATCCTGCGCTTCAATTTGTTGGAGGTCGGGCTTTGCTTTCACAGATGAAGGCGTTTGGCCTGAGTCTCGGTTCAACTGTGGTTGAACTTGCTAAAGTTGAGTACGAAGGCGTCCATCCTTGTAGTTCGACCGAGGTCGAGCTCGTTAGATTTAATGGCGAAGGCACATAGCCTGAGTCTTGGTTCGACCGTGGTTGGACTTATTGGCGAAGGCACGTAGCCGGAGTCCCAGTTCGACTGTTGTTGGACTTTGTTAAATTTGGTGGCGAAGGCACATAGCTTGAGTCCCGGTTCAACCGTAGTTGAACTTTTTGGTGAAGGCGCATAGCCTATCTTGGTTCAACCGTAGTTGAACTGTTTGGGGCGCATAGCCTGAGTCCCGGTTCAACCGTAGTTGAACTTTTTGGCGAAGGCGCATAGCCTGAGTCCCGGTTCAACCGTAGTTGAACTTTTTTGGTGAAGGCGCATAGCCTGTCTTGGTTCAACCGTAGTTGAACTTTTTGGTGAAGGCGCATAGCCTGTCTTGGTTCAACCGTAGTTGAACTTTTTTGTAGCCTGTCTTGGTTCAACCGTAGTTGAACTTTTTGGTGAAGGCGCATAGCCTATCTTGGTTCAACCGTAGTTGAACTGTTTGGTGAAGGCGCATAGCTTGAGTCCCGGTTCAACCGTAGTTGAACTTTTTGGTGAAGGCGCATAGCCTGTCTTGGTTCAACCGTAGTTGAACTTTTTGGTGAAGGCGCATAGCCTGAGTCCCGGTTCAACCGTAGTTGAACTTTTTGGCGAAGGCGCATAGCCTGTCTTGGTTCAACCGTAGTTGAACTTTTTTGGTGAAGGCACGTAGCCTGAGTCCTGGTTCAACCGTAGTTGAACTTTTTGGCGAAGGCGCATAGCCTGTCTTGGTTCAACCGTAGTTGAACTTTTTGGTGAAGGCGCATAGCCTGTCTTGGTTCAACCGTAGTTGAACTTTTTTGGTGAAGGCGCTTAGCCTGTCTTGGTTCAACCGTAGTTGAACTTTTTTTGGTGAAGGCACGTAGCCTGAGTCCCGGTTCAACCGTAGTTGAACTTTTTGGCGAAGGCACATAGCCTGTCTTGGTTCAACCGTAGTTGAACTTTTTTGTGAAGGCGCATAGCCTGAGTCCCGGTTCAACCGTAGTCGAACTTTTTGGCGAAGGCGCATAGCCTGTCTTGGTTCAACCGTAGTTGAACTTTTTTGGTGAAGGCGCATAGCCTGAATCTTGGTTCAACCGTAGTTGAACTTACTGGGTAAGGCGCATAGCCTTGATTTAATGACGAAGGCGCTTAGCCTGAGTCTCGGTTCAACCGTAGTTGAACTTACTGGTGAAGGCGCATAGCCTGAATCTTGGTTCAACCGTAGTCGAACTTACTAGCGAAGGCGCATGGCCTGAATCCCAGTTCAACTGTTGTTGAACTTTGTCGATCTTGATGGCGAAGGCTCATGGCCTGAGTCCCAGTTCAACTGCTGTTGAACTTTGTCGATCTTTGATGACGAAGGCTCATGGCCTGAGTCCCAGTTCAACTGTTGTTGAACTTTGTTGATCTGGATGACGAAGGCTCATGGCCTGAGTCCCATATTGTGGGTATTGAGTGCTGAAGCTCGGTTTGGATTCGAGACCTTGAGCGGCTCATCCGTTGTCTTCTCAACCAGGGTTTATAGGCTGTCTTGAGGCGATTCTCGATTCGAGATTCCTCCGTGCTGGTTTCCGGCTGGAGCCCTTATCAGGGATGTAGGAGATCTCTTACGAAGATTCTCCCCAAAAGAGAGGGGGGATGGCTTCTTCTTCTTGTTTGCACCATCCGATAGATGAGAGACAGAGGAACTGGATCTCGATTCGAGATCTTCGAGTTCCATCGGCCTGATATGCCGCTTTGGCTTGTTTATGCGGGGCTGCTTCTTCCTGTTTCGGCGTTTCTTTCCTTTTGGTCCATGGAAGAACTACGCGATTTTGCTATGAAATCCCCACAGACGGCGCCAAATTGTTTGCTCAAAAGTTATCGTGTGCTTTATGAGTGCAAAACAATACAAATAAGTTACGGGAAAATCATAGCAAATCGTAATAATCCATTGGACCGAGCGAAGAACATGAAAATAAGTACTCAAGGTTAGGAGAAGAAATCTTAACAGCATTTATTGATAATATTTGTTTGGTCTGCCTCTCCATGAAGAGGTTCAGAGCCTTACAATGGTGTTTTTTCTTCCCATAAGATGGGCATACTTTTCTCCTCTCTCTCTCTTTTGTGAATAGTGGTCAAGAAGCAGCCCCCTTTCTAGGGCTTCCACTCTTAGTATTTATAGATGTGAGCTTCGTGAGTTGGCAATAAATGGCCGTGGCCACGCTGAGGTTCCGTCCCCATGGGGGAGTGAATGGGTTGTGCCCTCGTAGACTAAATCAGACAAGAGTCGAATCCTGTTATGAATAAGTGGCCATACCACTTATTAATTATGGATTAGCTCAAGACGAGATTAACTCCGTTAATTATCGTGAGATCGGATTTTGACCCATACATCCATTATAGTATTGTTTTTGTCTATATTTCTCCATAATATTAAAAACGACATTGTACAACCTCTTCATATTATGGCAAATGCCCATATCGAGATTGAGATAAATCAGGAAAAAGTCAGAATAGAGCAACGAGTTTTAGAGTCTTCTCAAAAAAAAAAAAAAAAAAATCGAGATGGACAAGTGGAGATTTTGCTGCCCTCGAGATTTGGAGAATTTCACTATTTGGGACCATTATAGTATGGGGTTATGGGGCTATCATTCAAGATCCCCCCACCCCCCACCCCACACACACAGAGCTATGTCTCTCCTTTTACGTTTTCTACCTTAATTTTCTCTTGGCGTGAGCCATGAGGAAGTCTAGTACTGAGAAAAGGGGTGATCTCGTCTTGTTTGCCGAAAGAGAGGATGTTTTCGGTCCATCTTTTCTAGTCAGATAGCTTGCGATCATTCATATTGTTTTTCTACTTAATACTATATTCGTTTTATTTTATGTGATACTGTTTTTTTATTAATCATTCCAAAATTAATGAATTATAATTTTTTACATTTAAAAGGAAACACCTCATGCTAAAGAATGACACTTTTTATGACCATGTCAATTGATCTAACAACCCAGAGAACTTTTATATGTTATAATTAAATGAAATAAGAAATAAGATTGTGAAAAAATAAAATTAGAAATTTATATATATGTATGACCAAACAATTTAAGTATAAAGCCGGCCGCCAAAATATACTAGTCACAAGCAAATATACTAAACTATAGTTTCTTGAATTAATAATAGAACCACTATCAACAATATCTAAACCAACTTGGTGATGACATGTTCACTTCTTAACCAAATTGAACATGTATATAAAGGCCCCATTGTATCCTCCCAAAATATTAAAACTACCAACATTTGAGTTGCAAATTCATTCATTTCACAAAATTCCAGTACCCCTCTTAGATAATGAAAGAACTTATACAAAATAACCCCATGATTTTACTCTACTTCATTCTCCCTATCTTCGTCTTCTTCTTCTTTATTCTCTCAATATTTCGCCAAAAAAAATTTCCACCAGGTCCAAAAGGATGGCCAATAATAGGTAACATGATGATAATGGACCAATTGACACATCGTGGCTTAGCAAAATTAGCACAAAAATATGGTGGCATTTTACACCTCAAAATGGGATATCTTCATATAACGGTGGTGTCCAATCCAGATGAAGCGCGACAAGTTTTACAACTTCAAGATACCGTATTCTCTAATCGTCCTGCGACTATAGCCGTGAAATACTTATCGTACAATCGTGCAGATATGGCTTTTGCTCATTATGGACCTTTTTGGCGTCAAATGAGAAAATTATGTGTTATGAAACTTTTTAGTCGTAGAAGAGCTGAATCTTGGGACTCAGTTCGTGATGAAGTTGATTCTATGACAAGAGTTGTTGCTACTAGCAGTGGTTTAAGTGTCAATGTCGGTGAACTTGTCTTTGGAGTTTCAAAGAACACTATATACAGGTAAGAGTGGGCAAATGACACAGAGCGAGATTTAAGATTTAAATTTTATGTGTTCGTACAACAACTTCGGGTTCATATACAATACTGTCAATCAAATATTTATAGTAAATATTTAGTAGATTTCTAAATATATATACATAGAAGATCTAAGAAAAAACTAATGGATTCACGTGAACCCGTAGCTTACATGTTTCAGGTCAAAATAGAACAGGTCAAAAGGGTCATGACCAGTTCTATCCAAAGTTTGCATGGCTCAAAATGGATTGGATAAAGATGGTTTAGATAACGGGTATTAACCCAATCCGCCCAACTTGATCCAATCACATCAAATATTTATTTATTTTTATTTTACTTCATATTTTTCTCAAATTATTAGCTTAAACTCTTCAAAATTTAAATTCGAATTTGAGTTCATTTGAACATATCGTGTTACATCATTTTGATTAATTTTGACGTAATAGTTTGATAAGTCATTTCAGATTCAACCTGTTAGGTCAAGTCATTTGAACTGAATCCCGTCGAACAGATTACTGAACTGAGTTGATTTTGTCACCTCTATTTGCAGGGCAGCTTTTGGAACAAGCTCGGGCGAGGAAGATGAGTTACTTAAAATTATGCAGGAATTTTCGAAGCTTTTTGGTGCATTTAACTTAGCAGATTTTATACCTTGGCTTGGATGGGCTGATCCACAAGGGTTAAACACTAGGATGGTAAAAGCTAGGGCATCCTTAGATTGTTTCTCTGATACTATTATTGATGATCATATAAAGAGAAAGAATGAGAAGGATGATAGTGATAAAGATATGGTGGATGAGCTATTAGCTTTTTATGATGAAGAAGCAAAAGTGACTGATTCTGATGATTTACAGAATGCTCTTAGACTTACAAGGGATAATATTAAAGCCATCATCATGGTAAGTCCGAAATCTCTTAATTTTACCTTTCTTAAATTTTGTATACTAAAGAAAAGGCAGCTCGGTGCATAATGCTCCCGTATTCACGCATGGTAACAAGGTGCACAAGGTATCTCGTGTTCACGTAGGGTTCGGGAAAGCGCCTCAACACAAAGGGTGTGATGAGACAGCTTACCCTAATAAAACTATTAATGGCTGCTTATACATCTTGAACTCCTGACCTATAGGTCACACGGAAACAATTTTACTGTTGCTCCAACAAAATTTATGCACTAATGGCGTAAAATAATTTTTATATTATCAAATCATTTAAAAGATAACTGCGAAAACTACCATATTATAGTATTCTGTCTTATTTACTAAGCCCACTTAATTATTACGTATATTTATTTACAGTTATCTTTTAGGTGACACGTGTTTTATTGGTGCAGGATGTCATGTTCGGTGGGATAGAGACAGTAGCATCCGCCGTAGAATGGGCCATGGCAGAGCTAATGAAAAGTCCAGAGGATCTCAAAAGAGTACAACAAGAATTGACCAACATTGTTGGCCTCCATAGAAAAGTAGAAGAAACAGACTTTGACAAATTAACCTACTTGAAATGCTGCATTAAAGAAACTCTCCGTCTCCACCCTGTGATCCCTGTCCTAATCCACGAGGCGGCGGCGGACGCCACCGTCTCCGGCCATTATATTCCGGCAAAGTCGCGTGTTCTTGTCAATGTATGGGCCATTGGACGTGATAAAAACTCATGGGAAGATCCTGACACTTTTAAACCTTCGAGGTTTCTCAAGGAAGGTGTAGCAGATTTCAAAGGTGGAAACTTTGAGTTTTTACCATTTGGTTCCGGTAGAAGATCTTGTCCAGGTACGCACGGATTCAGAATTTAAATTTTATGGTTAAGTTCAAAATTCTAATGTGTCAAAATATTAATTCTAAATTTAATATTTAAAAGCGTTAACTATAAGTTTTTACCCTTCGGGTATGACATAAGGTCTTACCCACGTATGCAAAGACGAATTCAAAAGTTAATTTTAATGTGTTTCAAATTTAATATTTATACTTTCATTACCTCATGTTATGTCATGGCATTATTACTTTTTGAAAAAGCAGGCGGTTTTTTTCTTTAACTAGGATTTTTTTTTCAAAATTTAAATCGCTTTAATAAGTTACTATGTTGACTTATAAGTATTTTTAAAGTATTTTATAAAATACGTAAGTTTTACTTTAAAAACTCGAAGAATCATGTCCGAATTTATATAAAAAATTAAGTGTTTTACCTTTTGTACTTCAAACTCCTTCACATAAAATGGGACGGAGAAATTACTGCTTTTTAGGATATTTTTTCACAAATAAATATTTTGACTTATATATGTTAAAAATGATGAGTTCAATTGTAACACTTTAGATGTGTTTTTTCTGCAGGTATGCAACTAGGGTTGTTTGCATTGGAAATGACTTTGGCTCATCTTCTTCATTGCTTCACTTGGGAATTGCCTAATGGAATGAAACCAAGTGATGTTGATATGGACGATATTTTTGGACTTACTGCTCCTAAAGCTACTCGACTTGTGGCCGTGCCTAGTCCTCGCTTGTTGTGTCCACTTTATTAAGACATTAATTAAAAAAGAATTCTTTTCTCTTTGAAAAAGATATTCTAATTAAATAATGACTTGTAAACTCTTTGAAATAGTTTTGTGATTTATCTTGAATTTTTGTTCATTGTGATGACTTGGTATCTTGCTTGTTAAAGGAGTGAAAATGATGTAGTGCATATATATATATATATAAAAGATCTTAAGTTCAATTCGTTTTTTTCTCTCCACCAATCCACTGACTCTGCTTCTTAGACTTAAAGGAGATTTGTATTTGTGTATCTATCTCAATTAGTTTATATTTAGCTAATATTCTGAACTTATTTCAATACTTATAGCAGAGAGAAAGAAAAAGAATGAAATAGCAAATGATATAGTGCACGTCAAAAGATAACTGCTTCTTAGCTATTGGAAAATTTAAAAAAGTGTAAATTGAATCAATAATGGCGGCGATATTATATACAACCGCCCTTTTACACAAAATTATATTTTTGTCTTTCTTTTTCAATAAAATAAAAAACTCCATTATATGACCTTCCTTTTCCATAATATTATGACAAACGTCCATATCGGGATTGAGAGAAATCATGACGAAATAAGAAAAAATCAACGAGTTTTAGAGTCTTAGTAAAACATAAGGTGGACAAGTGGAGATTTTGCTATCCTCAAGGTCAATGTCTTATTGGAGGATTTCACTCTTCAAACTTGGATCAATGTTCCCCATGTATGGCGGAACCAGGATTTTTGACAACTAAATTTCTTTTTTTTTAAAATTAAAACATCACACGTAGATCAAAACTTGTATTTCTCTTATGTTAATAAGATTTAAAATTTAATATACATATATAAAGAATTTATTTTTATCCTAATTACACAATGTAACTTTTCGGAAAATGAATTCCCTTGGTTGAGGGGCGTATGCACCTTATATCATGCGCACGGGACACTGCTTGTGTAACGACCCGGCCGGTCGTTCTGAGAGTTGTAGCCCCTTTCCCCCAGTTAGTGCCAATTTTGTGCTTTACAATTGTTATATGACTTATCGGGTTAGTCGGTTCGGGTCCGGACAGATTTCGGAATGAATTAAGGCACTTAGTGTCAAAGTTGGAAGCTTAAGTTGGAAAGATTGACCGCATGTTGACTTATGTATAAATTACTCTGGAATGGAGTTTTGATGGTTCTGTTAGCTCCTTTGGGTGATTTTGGACTTGGGAGCGTGTCCGGATTGTGATTTGGAGGTTGGTAGTTGAATTAGGCTTGAAATGACGAAAGTTGGATTTTTGAAAAGTTTGACCGGAAGTGGACTTTTTAATATCGGGGTCGGATTGGAGTTCCGAAAGTTGGAGTAGGTCCGTGGTGTCATTTTTGACTTGTGTGCAAAATTTGAGGTCATCCGGACATGATTTGATAGATTTCGGCGTCGTTTGTAGAAGTTGAAAATTCCTTAATTCATTAGGCTTGAATCCGTGTGTGATTCGTGTTTTTGATGTTGTTTGAAGTGATTTGGGGGCTCGACTAAGTTCATGGTGTTTTAGGACTTGTTGGAATATTTGGTTGAGGGCCTGGGAGCCTCGGGTTGATTTCGGATGGTTAACGAATCAAGAATAGGACTTAATGCGTTGTTGAACTGGAGTCTTCTGGTGTGATCGCACCTGCTTGGCCGCATGTGTGATACCGCAGGTACATTGAGACCCATAATGGTCGTTTTTTGCTGTTGACTTATTGATTTCATTGAAATTCCGTACTCAGTCGTATTCATTCATTACATATCATATCTCAGTCTCTGTTGTTATTTATCGATATATCATATCATCATTTTCGGGCTAGTTTCATAACATTCTGAGCACGTGAGAAAGAGAGACTGGAGAGATTGATGACTAAGTGAGGCAAATGGCCTGATTATGAGTGACATTTATGGGATCGGGCACGCCGCAGCGGGCTACTGATTTATGATAGTGCTTGGGCTGAAGGAGTCCCTCCGAAGTTTGCACAAACCCCTAGTGAGCGCGATTGATTTATACTGAGGGATGGATCTTCCCTGGACATGGATCTTGTCCGAAGCATTTATACATGGGGATGGATCTTCCCCACGGGTTGGATTGGCCCTACCCAGTACTGAGCGGCTGATGGTCAGTTGAAGTATATTGTTGCTCCCAAACGCATACGCAAGTATACATGGTCGCCAAGCAATATAGGATTGTAAGTCCATATATCGTACCCACAGGGACTTGTGATTAACTATCAACTAAATTAAACCAAAAAATTAATCTATTCAAGCGAATCCTAAACTATGAATATTTAACTAAAATTAATCTAGAATAACAAATTAAGAGATTAAAGAAAACAAGTTAGCGAATTATAGAGACGAATTCAATGTGATTGAATATTCTAGAGGTATGGGTTAGCTAACAATCCCGTTGAGTTTTCCACTTAAATCATCTAATTAATTTATCTGGTTTATTGGTTGACAGGGTTAATATTGCTCGTAACCTTCTCCCGAAGTACAACTCACCTATTCAAGCTAATCTAACGCCTATATTCCTATGGAATTAGAATTAAGAAGAACGCATTAATAATTCCTGTATAGTAACCAAGCAAGGCGATTAGGTATATTCCTATCCTAATCGCAAATCTTCCCCCCCCCTCCCCCTCCCGCCCTAGAGTTAAGGTCTTGCTCTACTCAATATTATATGCAATCTAAAATTTCCTCTCCCGAGTTTAACCCTAGATTCGTAGATAGTATTCAATTGGTGATCAAGCAATCAAATAATTAAGCGCAAGATTGAGTAAATAAACCAATATGATAAAATAAAAAGAACAATTCAAGCTTCAAACTACAACGTTCATGTAGCACCCAATAACTCTAGAACAAATAAACTATGAAACTAAAAGAAGAGAAGAGAAGAAAAACTAGTTAGAAGCCACCTCCAGGCGTGATGTGTGTTCTCCCACGTGAATTCTCCTTCAAAGTATGTTAGATCTCCTCCAAATTAAGTTTAGAACCCCCTTTATACGAGTTACGGGGTCTTGGGGGCCTAAACAACCTTGTCCCGATCGAAATAGAAAACTCCCCGCACCCAGCATCCAGGCCAGCGCCTAGCGCTGGACCTGGCGCTGAAAACAGTAAGTTTTCAAGTCTCCAATTCTTTGCTGCGTTACTTTTGCTTTAACACTTACTCTTTTGTTGTCTCCACTTGGGGGGAGGGGGGGCAAAACCTAAAGGGTGTCCTGTTTTTTATATTCTTTTAATTTTCTTTCTTTTTCTTCCGCGTTTTATTCCATTATGCTCCAAATCTTTTTTATCTTCGCACTGCTTTATTCCTACACAGTTGAAATATAATATTAAGCACAAAATAATATAATTAACACTCAAAAGACGATTAAAGTATTAGAATGTGAGGCAACAATAATTAAATATATGCATTTTTGCCTAATATCATATATATTCCGGGATAGATCTTTCCTGGGTCGAATCGGCGGCCATGTACAGTACTGAGTGATTGAGCATTTCGAGAGTGTGAGCACATGAGGCTTTCAGCATGGTGCATCACATACAGCATGTGCATTGGCATGCAGAAGTAGAGAAGTTATATTCTTCATATCATTCAGATCTGATCTATCTTAGTGCATTGAGTTTTACTATTGAACTTGAAAGCATGCCTATATTTCTACACCGTGCACCTCGTGTGCAGATCCAGGTGCTTCCGGTCACGGCGACTGTTGAGTTGTGGAGTCAGGATCTTTGGAGATTATCGAGGTAGTTGCATGGCGTTCGCACACCTTGAGTCTGCTTCCTTATCTTTATTTATGTTTCAGTTATTATATATTCTCTAGACGTTGTATTAGACTATATCCCTGTATAGATGCTCATGTACTCGTTGACACCCCTGTTTTGGGAGAGATTTTGTACTGAGTTGCGAATTTTATTAAGCTATTAAAAGGTTTTCCTTAAATATTAAAAGCTTCCGCATTTTTCAAAGCTTTTATGGTGTTGAAACGGTTGAGTAATTAGCTTGCCTAGTTTCACGATAGGCGCCATCACGACGTTTTGGTTTGGATCGTGACAGCTTGGCCGAAAAAATTCCACTAAATATTTATAAGAAAGATAAAAATATTGGGATGTATAGAAAATATAATGACACCACTTTTCAGTATAATAATTTATTCATCTGTTTATTTCTTCAAATTATGAAATCGCTTTCTTAGGTAAATTTCTGCTTAGGCGACTGGTTGCAAGCCACTTGCTATATTTATGAAGAGTCAACACACATAACCAATTTAAATCTTATGTGCTTTGACTAAGTTGCTAAATGATTACCCATGTGCTTGTCAAATTAGTCATCTTTTTCGGATTTCTTTTAATTTGCTCGGATGGAGAGTGACGATAGTGGACCAAAGGATTTTAAGCAAACGACATGATTAATATATTTTCATAATTTTGTTTGTAAGTTTGAGTTTGGAACAGTAGTAGGTTTAAAGTCTTACTTCTTATTTTAAATTGATATTCGTTTTATATTATTTCGATCAGTTTCAATCAGTTGTGTATATACATACTTTTTATTAAAAAAAATGTTATTCCCACAAACAACGGTGGAGCTAGGATGTGGAATACGTGTTCGGCCAACGATCAGTAGCTTTGGTCTAAATTTTATAACTTAGAACCCAATAATTTAAATGGATTATAATTTCGAACTCATAAACTTCAAATCTTTGCTTTGTCTCTGTCCACAAACATATATATGAGAAAAAGTTCACGGAATAACAGTTTCTCAGTTCCTTAGTTTTGTGCATAGCATCTACTCCCTTTGTTATAGTTTATGTGATATTATTTCTTTTTAGTTCATTCCAAAAGGTATTAACTCTTTCTTAAATTTGAAAATAATTTAATTAAACTTTTCATTAGCTTTTGTAACCATATAAATATTACGGTATATATGTTTGAAACTATAAGTTTCAAAAGCATTACAACCACACAAATGTTATTATGACCAGGGGCAGATTTATAGGCTTAATTATGGGGCATGTGAACCCATGGTCTTTCCGTAAAATTAGATATTTTATGTATATATTTTTTAAAATTGGTATAATATTATTTGTTGGCACTCATGCTTCAAGAAGTTTAAATGA